CCCCTTCCTTGAACTGTGCCATCCTGCTAAATAAATACCTTGTTATGGCAATGTTCCTTAAGAATATGCCAACGCAGGTTCCCGACCGGGAAATACTGATTACACAGCTGACATACAACCTGAATATTCAATAAATTAAAAGTATCTAAAAAGCTGCCATTTTTTCTTTGTACATCGTATAACTAATAATTTTGCTGATTATTCTGTTAGCCTATAAATNGAGGCATGAGGAATGAGGAATGAGGCATAAAGAATAAGGATTGAAGAATAAATATTGAGGAATAAGGAATAACGAATAACGAATAACGAATAAAGAATAAAGAATAAAGAATAAGGAATAAGGAATAAGAAATGAGGAATAAGGAATAAGGAAGAAGGAAGAAGGAATAAGAAATGAGGAATAAGGAATAAGGAAGAAGGAAGAAGGAATAAGAAATGAGGAATAAGGAATAAGGATTGAAGAATAAATATTGAGGAATAAGGAATGAGTAATAAGGAATGAGTAATGAGGAATAAGGAATAATGAATAAGGACTAAGGAATAATGAAAAAGGATGGAAAAAAATAGAAATGTTCTTTTATAATATCATTTCTGTGATGAAAGGTTGCGGATCTGCATAAAGTGTAGAAGAAGGTTGAGTGGTAAATGAGGAGGAAAATTGTATTTGGTCCGATGTGACCAAGGTTCGGGGTTTGTAAGTTCTCCGGGTCCGTGTTAACATACAGAGAATGGAAAGAATTGTTGGTTATTGTAGGAAAGTACGCAGAGTTTTCTCATCCTTACAGCTCCTGTATTCTGCAGTAGTAGGTTCAGGTTCTCACAATATTGGGATATTTTACACAAACCTTATCTCCTCCATACCTAACCTGCCAACCAACCACAAAACTAAACAAACCAACCAACTCAATATCCAACCCAATCTCAAAACTAACAAGCAAACAGTTAAAGTAACCTTGTAAACCAATCAAATACAATAGCAAAAAATCGACTAACATTTACATAGTTAAACAAACCACCAAGCAACTGCCTAATCAAATTTGAAACCAACCTAATATATAAATATATATATTTAACTAACCAATCAAATATTTAACTGTCAACTTTTAAGTTAACCAATCTAATATTTAGCCAACCTACCAACTAATCAAATATTTAGCTAACCAATTAAATATCTAACCAATCAATCAAATATCTAACTAACCAATCAAATATAAATTCAACCAATTAACTAATCAAGTATTTACCCAACCAATCAAATATCTAACCAACTAATCGAAAATCTAGCCAACCAATCAAATATCTAACCAACTAATCGAAAATCTAGCCATCCAATCAAATATCTCACAAACCAATCAAATATACATTCAGCCAATCAATTATTTAGCAATCCAACCAATCAACAATTGGACCAAACAACAAACCCGTCCATCAACCTAAAACTACTTTAAGACCTTACTATACTATCAAATTACCTACCTAATTTTACGAAACATAATAACTAAAAATTTAATTCTTGTATTTTCCGTGTTTACTGGTAGTTTCCACCTAACTCATTAATCATCTTTTATACACTTTTCATACTTTTCATACTTTTCATACTTTTCATACTTTTCATACTTTTCATACTTTTCATACTTTTCATACTTTTCATACTTTTCATACTTTTCATACTTATCAAACAAATCGTGCTTTCCAAAACACTGATTTTAACTTAACATGAAAAAAAATATTGGTTTTTGCATTTTGTTTACTCGTCAACTTTGGTTCTAAATAGATTATTGAACAATTTGTTAGGATGGAAATCAAAATAATAGTAGTTAAGTGCTTTAAATGTGTCCTTTTCTTAATTTGTAGAGAGTGCTAGTTTTAATTTTCCCAAATTCTCAAAAATAACGATAACTGTGTCCCGCGGGTGGGATGGGATGGGATTGGTTTGTGTTGGGATATGTTGTTAATGTGATGGGATGGGTTTCGTTGGGATGGGTTACGTTTGGCTGGGATGGAATAGGACGGGTTAGAACCTATTTCATGTCATTTTTAGAACTATTAGAGGACTAATTAACCCGAATCTTTTGTGATCTTTTGTGGGCAAATTTTAGAGAAAAATATAATCCATAGAATCTAATCCAACTCCATTAAAGGTCAAAATAGAGGACAAAATAATCCGTAGCATGTCTTCCATGTCCTTGTTAGGACTAGTAGAGAACAAATAATCAGTAGATCCTATTCAATATCCGTTACAGAACCAAAAGAGGACAAAACAATCCATATATGTCCTTTGTTGGACTAATGTAGGACAAAATAATCCGTAGAATCTATTCCATGTTCTTCAAAGGAAAAGAAAAGGACAAAATAATTCGTAGAATTTATTCCTTGTCAATGGGACAAATATAACAATAATATTTTTTAGGACAAGATAATTATTTACATCGACCTTAGTCAGACTAGATGAAAGTTGCAGTAGTATAATCACTATAAATGATCTCAATCATATTCTTCATTCATCTTGGTTGATTTTCTACTTTTATTCAGGACTTCAGGAATGAGGAATAAGGAATAAGGATTGAAGAATAAATATTGAGGAATAAGGAATGAGTAATAAGGAATGAGTAATGAGGAATAAGGAATAATGAATAAGGACTAAGGAATAATGAAAAAGGATGGAAAAAAATAGAAATGTTCTTTTATAATATCATTTCCGTGATGAAAGGTTGCGGATCTGCATAAAGTGTAGAAGNCCCTCCCCGGGGTAGTTAGCTTTTACAACAATATCATATTCATTATATTGTAAATTCAGGAAAGTGTCTAAGTTTTCTTAAACCAATGCAGAATTTCTCAGTTTGTAGTTTGTTAAAAAATATATTAAACTGGAATCTTTTCCATTATCTACATAGTACAGTCTGGAGTCTAGTTTATAGGGTTTTAATTTAGCTCTTTTTCTACAGTTTCTTCTTGGTGCAGTGGTGTAGGGGAGCTTAGGTTTAGCAGTAGTAAACTAGATTTATCTGTAGTAAACTAGGTTAAGCTGTAGTAAACTAGGTTTAGTTGTAGTAAGCTAGGTTTAGCTGTAGTAAGCTAGGTTTAGCTGTAGTAAGCTAGGTTTAGCTGTAGTAAACTAGGGTTAGCTGTATAGTAAACTAGGTTTAGCTGTAGTAAGCTAGGTTTAGCTGTAGTAAACTAGATTTAGCAATAGTAAACTAGGTTTAGTTGTAGTAATTTAGGTTTACCTTTAGTAAACTAGGTTTAGCTGTAGTAAACTAGGTTTAGCTGTAGTAAACTAGGTTTACCAGGAGTAAACTAGGTTTAGCTGTAGTAAACTAGGTTTAGGTGTAGTAAACTAGGTTTAGGTCTAGTAAACTAGGTTTAGCTGTAGTAAACTAGGTTTAGCTGTAGTAAACTAGATTTAGCAATAGTAAACTAGGTTTAGGTCTAGTAAACTAGGTTTAGCTGTAGTAAACTAGGTTTATGTGTAGTAAACTAGGTTTAATTGTAGTAAACTAGGTTCAGCTTTAGTAAACTAGGTTTAGCTGTAGTAAGCTAGGTTTAGCTGTAGTAAACTAGGTTTACCTTTAGTAAACTAGGTTTAGCTGTAGTAAGCTATGTTTAGCTGTAGTAAACTAGGTTTAGCTGTAGTAAACTAGATTTAGCAATAGTAAACTAGGTTTAGTTGAAGTAAACTAGGTTTACCTTTAGTAAACTAGGTTTAGCTGTAGTAAACTAGGTTTACCTGGAGTAAACTAGGTTTAGCTGTAGTTGACTAGGTTTAGGTGTAGAAAACTAGGTTTAGGTCTAGTAAACTAGATTTAGCTGTAGTAATCTAGGTTTAGCTGTAGTAAGCTAGGTTTAGCTGTAGTAAACTAGGTTTAGCTGTAGTAATCTAGGTTTAGCTGTAGTAAACTAGGTGTAACTGTAGTAAACTAGGTTTAGCTGTAGTAAACTAGGTTTAGCTGTAGTAATCTAGGTTTAGCTGTAGTAATCTAGGTTTACCTTTAGTAAACTAGGTTTACCTGGAGTAAACTAGGTTTAGGTCTAGTGAACTAGGTTTAGCTGTAGTAAGCTAGGTTTACCTTTAGTAAACTAGGTTTAGCTGTAGTAAACTAGGTTTAGTTGTAGTAAACTAGGTTTACCTGGAGTGAACTAGGTTTATCTGTAGTGAACCAGGTTTAGCTGTAGTAAACTAGATTTGCCTTTAGTAAACTAGGTTTAGCTGTTGTAAACTAGGTTTAGTTGTAGTAAACTAGGTTTACCTTTAGTAAACTAGGTTTAGCTGTAGTAAACTAGGTTTACCTTTAGTAAACTAGGTTTAGTTGTAGTAAACTAGGTTTACCTTTAGTAAACTAGGTTTAGCTGTAGTAAACTAGGTTACCTGGAGTAAACTATGTTTAGCTGTAGTGAGCTAGGTTTAGCTGCAGTATGCTAGGTTTAGCTGTAGTAAGCTAGGTTTAGCTGTAGTAAACTAGGTTTAGCTGTAGTAAACTAGGTTTACCTTTAGTAAACTAGGTTTAGCTGTAGTTCACTAGGTTTAGCTGTAGTAAACTATGTTTAGCTGTAGTAAACTAGTTTTAGGTCTAGTTCACCACTAGGTTTAGCTGTAGTAAACTATGTTTAGCTGTAGTACACTAGATTTAGCAATAGTAAACTAGGTTTAGTTGTAGTAAACTAGGTTTACCTTTAGTAATCTAGGTTTAGCTGTAGTAAACTAGGTTTAGGTGTAGTGAACTAGGTTTAACTACAGTAAAATAGATTTAACTGCTGTGAACCTATTTTAAGATTAAGTTTTTGTATTTTAAACCTGTATTTTGCACCTACAACGAGACTTCTGTTGAAAAGTTCATTCTTAGTTTTAAATCATATATTCCAAGGGGTGAAATTTTGCAAGTTTAAGTCTTGAAACTAGAAAAGTTTTTAGATTTCTGTATGCCAAGTACCCATCCTGAATCTCAAACAGAACCCCAGGTTTTGTGTTAGAAAACGCACATGGAAAAGATATTTAATTTCAGAAATTTTATTTCGCAGTCGGAGAAGACTAAACTGATGCCAACTCTAAGAATAGCAAGGAGAACTGATCACTTCTAGCTCCGCTGCCCAGAGTAATCCCCCTGAAACCCCAAAACCTATAAAATGTGAATTGTGATCATTTTAACCCTAGTACAAGGGGGGGAGGCAGGGAACTCCCATGGTTACCGAATATTAAGGGACTCGGAGTGATACACAGGTTTTGAAGGACGAGCTGTCTGCTCTTTAAGTCTCCGTGGGCTTTTAAAGTCCTGATCAATCAAAGTTTAAGAAGACATATTCTACAAGTAAGTAAAAATTAGATCATAATAGATTAAAATACTTTGAGCTGTTTAATATTTTTTACCTATTTTTCTTTCTATATTTAAAATAATAACAATAAAAAGTTTCCCAGGTTTTCTTGATTTAGTTGATAATTTAATTCTTTTTCTTGATTTAGTTGATAATTTAATTCTTTTTTTTTAATCGTAATTCTTTAAACGAGATAATGAAATCCTGGTTATAAAGTGGGTTGACATAATTCGGAATAAGGCCAACAAAAGGAGAAAAAACAGCTTTCTTTATATTATTAATTGTATATTATTTTTTAACATTATTCCTTGAGATAAGAACTTAAAAACTGTCGCCTGATTTAATGTAATTTTTTATATTTAAAGATATTTTATTAAAAGTAACTACAAACTTAAAAAAGGTTCATTATTATTTAAAATAATTTACATTATTTTCTGAGACAAAATATTTGTTTTTTTCTATGCAAATAATTTAAATATCGTCCCTTGTAATGTGGATTTACATAAATAGTTTTCGTACATTTTCAAATTAGTTCATTTATATATATTTCAGTTTTTAAACTTTACATATTGTTAAAAAAGAAGAAAGAAGAACAATATATACTTTGCGTGTCTGTTTGAATCCAATAAACGTCAAATGGCTGAACAGATTGGGCCCAAAATATATGGCTGGTCGAAATTGTTAAATTTTGACCGGGAAAAAATGTCGACATTTATTATTTTTGAAAATCCTCCAAATTTTACAGAAATTCTGAAATATTTTTTTAATGTGACGATGGAAAAGAAATCAGCATTTAAAATGTGGTTTGACTGTTAAACATAAAATACAAGCAAAAAAATATATATTCTTCAAAAATAACACAATTGCAGTTGCATAAAAATATATTTATCCTTCCAATTTTCTATGTTTATTCACGAGGAACAACATTTGGTGGAATTTCCAGCATAAACAAGTTTTTATTTTAAATATATAAATACTAAAATTTTGAATTCAAAATATCAGAGATGTTTAAATTTTTAACTGCATTCGCTTTTTTATTCTTCTTTTATACAGGGGGACTGAGNGGGGGGGGGTAACAAATCATAATATCACATCCTCGTAAAAAATATTCGCAATGTTTTAAGGGTAAAAATTTGAAAGTTTAAGTCCAGATTTGATGATATGATGTACAAACGTACATACACACAGACAAACATAGACTATTACTTTATAAATAAAGATGCAGAAGATGTTTTTTTCCATAATCCAGGCGTGTATATTATCTAGAATAAAAAATGGTCATGAAAAAGCAAGTTTTTTTCATCTTTTAATACTTTTTACACAAAAACTCATTTATTTTCCCCATCTGGGGGGGGGGGATTTTAAATGATTTTTCATGAAAATGTGGACCCCTGCTTTAATCATCCGCCTTGTTTTATGATTGTTTATGTTACTATATTGTATTTAGTATGAAAGTAATGAATATAAAGGTTCTAATTTAGAAATTATAGAAACATTAATAATAAATACAAATATTGGTTAATTTTTCCTTAATCTCCTCTCTACAATGATTTATTGAGGATTAACAAACTTTTAGTTATGAAAACTTATTTCAAATCTAGAAATGATTTTTTTATATGCACTAGCTACAGTGCCCAGCGTTGCCTGTGCAATTTCAAAAATGTCAAAAATAATTAGCCTATGTCACCCCCAGGGTTACCCACGTCTTCCCTAAAAGAAATTAGCCAATTTAGTCCAGCTGTTTGGCCAGCTATAGCTAACATATATATATATGTAGCGAAGAGCTTTATTATATGTATTTACTATTTACCTGTTCCATTTCTTACCTTTCACTGCCGAACTCATGTATTTGAATATTTTTGGTCAAATACAAAAATATAGGATTTTTCCCGCAATGTTTTCTATTGCGCCATTCCATTACGTCACTTCTCTACTCCTCTTATCCTTCCAAACTCTTTTTTATCCTTTTTTATCTTCCTTATCTTTCACCTTCTTTTCTGTATCCTTCTTTTTCATTCCCAATGTGCCCCTACCCTTCCATATCTTTCCATACTCTTCCCGATCTTTTTCAGCCCCTGTGGTCCGTTCTCACCTTTTCTCTCTCATCAATCCCTATCCTTCCCGTCCCATAGTCCGTCCCAACCTTCCTTTTCTCTCTCATCAATCCCTATCCTTCCCGTCCCATAGTCCGTCCCAACCTTCCTTTTCTCTCTCATCAATCCCTATCCTTCCCGTCCCTAGTCCGTCCCAACCTTCCTTTTCTCTCTCATCAATCTCTATCCTTCCCGTCCCTAATCCGTCCCAACCTTCCCTTTCTCTCTCATCAATCCCTATCCTTCCCGTCCCTTGTCCGTCCTGTCATTTCCATCATACCCTTTCCTTTTCGTATATATAGTCCGTTCCAATCCTTCCTTTTCCTCTCCCTATCATTCCATATTCTTCTGGTCCCTAGTCCGTCCCTATACCCTTTCTTTCCTCTCCCCATCATTCCATATCCTTCCCGTTCCAAGTCCGTCCCTAGTCTTATCTTTCTCTCCCATACTCTCCCATAACTCCTTATCCTCCCCGTTCCTAGTCCGTCCCTAGCCTTATATTTTTCTCCCATACTCTCCCATAATTCCCTATCCTTCGCGTCCCTTCCATCTCTTTCTGAATTTCTATTAAGTGTTCCTGTTTATGAAAAATTGACCTATATTTTCCAACCCATGGTTTCTATTGCGTCAATTTTATTTCTTTGTTACAAATAATCAAACTTTCTTTTCTTCTCAACACAGTACATACAGTGTGTCCCACCAAACGTGACAGTTGGTAAATAGTTTTAAAAAAGCATTCTTCCATAATTTGTTAAGTTGTTTGATACCAAAAAGAATTATAAAAATATTATATGGCAGTCATGTAATTGTTAAATTGATTTTAAAGGAAAAGATTTGTTAACGAAATTAACTGCAAAAGTCTTTAATATCTAATACAGTATATGGAAGAAGACATTCAAAACCATTCACCAACTGTCATATTTTGTGGGACACCCTGCAGTTCATAGGGTGCAGGGGGAAATAGAGCACAAAGGGGGAAGTGAACAATGCAGAGAGGGGGGGGGGAATTAAGCTTAGAAAAGGGGATAGTATTCAGAATAGAAATAGAAAATAAACCCAAAACATTGTGTTATTATACAGGACTATATTTACGTTTTTTCTCAAGATGTTTGTAAAATAATTTAGAAAATGCACGAAATTTACCAAAAGGAAAATGTATCTTTTTTCTAGGATCAAATGAGAGTATAAAATTTTGTTAATTTTCTCCATTAAAATATATGAAATTCGCCAGGTGTCTAATAGCACAGATTTATGCCAAGTGTTGGGCACAAATGTTCTTATTTAGTTTTAAAACATTTTTTGATCTCAAGTTTTCCTTGATGCACGATGTAAACACTATTTTAAGGGGGACATGTTTTATTTGCTTTTTGTAAACCCTCTGTTGGGAACTAATGATTTTTACAATTTTGCCCCTATTGTTCAATGCTATAGTATAAAAAACCTAATGAAAAAGAAAGAAATATTTCTTTCCTTATAAAACAGAAATGAAAAAAATTACCCTAAACATTGAAATTTAAGATATTTAATTTGTTGATGCTTGGAAACTCTGGGAAAATTTTTTATTGATAGGAAATATTTTTTTTAAAAATATTATTTGTAACAGTTTAGATATCTAATCTGTTAAAAAACTCCCGTTTTTACTGTTCCTTGGCTCATATCCAGCTAGTTCTTAAATTAAATATAAGTTATAACCTAACCCAACATGAATACATGAATATATTTGTTTAATGCACTTCTGGTCAGTTCTATGAAGCCTAGAGAGTAAACCTTGGACAAAAACCCTAAAACACATTTCTTCCGTTTTTAACATTTATTTTGATTTATTTTGTAAAAAATACCTAAAATTTAAGTCCTATTCCAAAACTCCTAATCCATCTTAAAACTAAATCAACTTTTGAATACTTTGCTGATGCTAAAACACTAAGAAGACATCAGAATATTTTATACAGTGATATCCACAAACGATGAGACTTTAATTTCGACCAATGACTCGTTAAATATGACGATCTCTAGCTTGGTCTTCAGTCTCGAATTTAGCATTTTTAAATGATACATATCAAATGTTTTGGCAAAGAAAATAGAAGAATACATTTGCAGGAATTGAAGAATGTCAGACAAAGTCTAAATACATTCCGTACGGTCGTCTCTGAAGTCTCATCCTTTGTGGGTAACCCTGTACCTCCAATTCATAGTTTCTCCTGCTTGGTTCTACAAAGTGACATAAATTGTCAATTCTAAGCTAATGTAATTCTTGAAACTTTGTCCCCCTGGAAAATGTTTAATTTACAGAACATAATATATACAATTCTACATGATTTGAGAATACTTTTAAATAAAATATTATTCGGTAAAAGGATAAATCTCTTTTGTGGAAAAGTTTTTTTCCCGGTAAAGTTAGTCAAACAAATGCAATTGGTTCAGATTATCCTTATTAACCTTTATATATTGACTAGCTTGGGAAACCCAGCTTTACCTGGAAACTAAGCTTAAACAACTGACATTATGAATTTTTTTACCATACCAAGTTTGTAGCAAATCGGTCAATGTGGTTTCTGAGTTCTGATTGGACATACAAACAAACAAAGATTGATACTTTAAAAAATAATGAAAACAATAATTTTTGCTCTTGAATTAATTAACTACTAACTTAAAAATTTACATTTAAAAGTAAAACCAACTTCGGAGAAATTTTCCGTCATTGTTTCAAACTAGAGTTTTTGCTTCTTGCTCTTTACCCTTTATATCCGGCTTAGAGAAATCTTTATAGACATTTAGGTTGGTAAAGGGTAGAAGGTTAAGTTCAGGTCATAAACCAATGAGAAGTTTTATTGCTAAAACTGTATTATGTAATCTCTCTCCTCCAGGAACCCAGGGTTTAGAGGGTTGGAGAAATAAGAAAATGC